GCTCTAGAGAGGAAGAAGATTTTGTGTGTGAGGATATAGTGATAGGTCCCTACACAATCCATCCAGGACCATAAACAAAGGGCATGCCAGAGGAACAAGGTTACAGTTTTGGTGGGCAATATAAAATCATCCTCCTAAGAGCTAAGGTAACATAGTCAGGGAGTAATTGACTTATTTCTTGGATGCCAATTTAACTGTTACCCAAGACCATGGGCCATATAGCAGATTACTTTTTCTAGTGCATTAAAAGGTATACCACTGGACCAAAGAGTGTCTTGCTCCTGAGCTATGCATTCAGTCTCCTCTGTGATGCTCTTATTATATTGGAGAACAGGGTTAGTTCGATCAAATGGCATTTCAAAATCAAGAGTCTTTTGGGAATTTTAGAATGAAATTTTCTCCAAGATAGAAAGTCTTGCTGGCTCCTCCATTTTCCCAACAGAAATAATGAATTCCTGGTCTGGAATAAGTGTGTGAACTAAGCATAGAAAATTTATCTATTTATTTATTTATTGAGAATCTTTTAGGAAAACCTGGACAGGAGCAAACTTAATCTCTCTCTGTGTTCAAGTTGAATGATGTCTCAAGCACAAATTTTCAAGGTAAAAGTTTTGCAATGCCAAATTATTCTTTACATATAATAAAAATATAACTATATATATACACACACACACATATCTATATATGAAATTGGATAAACTCAGTTTTTCTTTTCTCACCTTTTAGAAAACCAATTGTGAGCAGATTATTGTAGTCAGAGATATCATTAGTAGCACTAATGATAAAGACAGAAGCCACAGAAGAATTAAAGCTACAACAAGTCTTTTATTCATTCCTATACAAGAAAGAATATTCTCTGTAATTTTTTTTCCAAATACAGCTTGAACAAATGAACATTCATTTTCCTGTACTGATGTTTAAAAATTAAGTCTTACTGCAGGCAGTGAAACTCAGTCTCTTCTGGAAGAAATATAACTGAACATTTTACATTGGCTTCAATAATATATTTTTATTTCCCAGAATGTTTGATCATATCCTTTAAATTCTATGGATGGTGCTTTCCATAATCAGCAGATGCTAGTGTATTTTGCCTTTTATTTTTGTGACAAAAGCTGTCAGCCTCAATGCTTGTGCCACCAGGGTTCTTAGGCATTCTTAAGATCTGTTTCCTAGAGGGTAAAATGAATTTGTACTAAAGAATAACATGCACTCAATAGAGTTTCATATTATCCCTGCACACAGATATCGCTCTGGTTCCGTTTATTCTAGATTCACAGCCCAGGGGGTAGAACAGCTCAAGGCAGTGGGCTTGACAGAATTAGGGTGCTAGAAAAATGGCCAGAGCTTGAACACATTTAGCCTTCCTTTGTTTTAATATGCTCATTTGTTCAAGGAAATTTGCAGGAGGCCATGCTTGAGAAAGCAAATGTCTGGCAGACCTCGGTGCACTTCGATAAAAGAAGCATGCAGTTATTAGCCTTCCACTTTCATCACCCACAGGATTATTAATTTGTGCCATTACTGGTAGTGTGGTGACCATTAAGAACCAGTCATGGGGTAGCTTCCTCCTCCTCCTCCTCCTCCTTCTTGTCTTTTCCATGTCATTCTGTGGCTCATTACAAGAGAAGTGCATTGCTCTCCATCTATTAACTGACTCTTAAATTTACCAAGTGATAATTAAAATCTGGAAAAAACAACAGCTAGAGATTTCATTCTAACTTTTATTGATTTAACCTCTTGACTACAATTAAGCATATTTTGGGAATTTATGTTTTGAATGAAACCAGATAATAGTATCTTGTGTTTGTTAAGGGCCTTGCACGGTACACCCTTATACATGATCTCATTTGATCCTTAAGGACTCTGGACCTTGAGAACATTGGGGTCACTGTCACTTGTTGAGAAAGCCTCAAATTACAAACACTAAAACTTGATGTCTGACTTAGTGTCACATATTTCAGAGATAGCACAGAACTCTTGCAGGAGTCAGGAGAAATGGAGGTCTGATTTTAGCTCTGCTACAAAATAACCATGTCAGTTCTAAATAGTGGAATGACCCCTGCAGACTATATTTACTTTACAAAATTATGATCTGGAATTAGAGTTTTACTGGCATATTTTATTATCCTGTGACTTAAAAAATTTTTCCTCACCAAAAATAAGAATACTCAGCCAGGATGATTATTTTTGTTTATATATTATTTTCTGTACAAATAAAAAAATCTAAAATAAAGACTGATAATGAAAAAAATTAAAACAAAACTTGTGCATTGCTTTCTATCATCATGTTCCAGTTTTACCAGCTATGTCTTGACCTTGAGGTAGGCTGTGAAGATCTAGAACTTCACCCACTTCATCCAAGCAGACGTCACTTCTTACCCCTCACCCTCTTACCTTCTCTTTCAACCTCACACTTACTTCTCCCTTTTACTTTCTCCAAAGTGTAAATTTACAGATCCACCTTCTTGTTTTGGATCTCCAATTTGGGGAATTCACATTTAAGTTAGAGATTGCAATTTGGCATCATAGGCATAAGATCTGGCTCCTGGATGTATTGTGTTCGATTTTCATGATGTTAAAAAATTGAACTTGCTGCCAATGTTTGTCAATCTGGAGATTTTGCATAAAACCCCAGAATTTAATATCTTTGAAAACTGGGCAAATAGAAGTACTGGGTCTGCTTTCCCATGCTGTGCCAAAGGTGGGATCTGTGGCTCCCTTTAGATCCGGCATACACAGATCTGTTTTGGAATCCACACTCATTTCTGCTACTTGCTCATCGCTGGTGGGTGTTTGAGTTTCTAACTTACTTGCAGATAGCTGGGGGTTTGGGGCATGTAAGAATTCAAGTGCAATGTAATTGGTTGATCAGAGTATGCCTGAGATGCTTTTCGTGTTCTTTGTAATTCACTATACTTAAAAATATGCTCAGAGGGCTTGGTGTCAAACACTATAAAAAGTCCGGGAACAGGAACTTTGTTTCTTTAATCATAACACTTAATGATTTAATTTCAAAGTTTAAAATTTGATGGTGCAATATATTTTACTGGACAATGTTAGGCCCATGTAATTCAGTTCAGTTCATCAAACATAGATGAAATGTCCGTCACATACTATTCACTGAGCTTGGCATTGGGGATAATTTGTTGTTATAACCTTGCCAGGTATGGCATTTTAACTTGGATGGCTGTCATATATTGTTTTTTTAAAAATATAATATTTGGGCAATGTTTTTTTAAACCAATGTTAAAGTGAAATTCTCAATTTTATAGATATACAAAGAATATAATTGTGCATGAACTAAAAGTATCAGCTACCTCATTGGTTAATACCTTAAATTATCTACTCTGTGTGTCTTTATTCCTGGGTGAATGTGTTTCTGCATCTCATTTGTATCTTTTTTCCCCTCTGGTTGTAAACTTGCCCCACTGTACATCTGTACAATGTTGAGAATATTGTTAATCTTAAATGCGTATCATAAATAAAAGAAGCAGTTGATCCCATCATGTGGTTTTGCCTTAGGGTGCTGGTTCCTTCATCTGTCTCCTTTCCAGGAGTCCGCCTGTGACTATTAAAACCCCTTGATAGACATGGTGTGGACCATTCCTACCCTTTCTTCTTTACAACTTCCATTTCAACTTGATTCCAGATTTGGAGAATCCTGCTCCATTTTTTTTTAGTACTTACAATAGTGGATAAATAACAAAGTATAACTGTTCAGCTTGGAATTCTTGTTTAGGAGGTCAATTTCTGGCCTTGTCCCTGCCTTCTACCAATCTAATAATTCTAGAGTAGGGACTAAGATTCTGCATTTTAACACTATGGAGTTATTTATTTATTTTTAAAACAGTATTGGTATTACCATGTTTACAGCAGCACAGTTCACAATAGTTCAATTATGGAACCAGCCTATAGGTGTTTGTCAGTGGTGAGTAGATCAAGAAAATGTGGTCTATATACATGATGAAGTTTGAGTCAGCCATAAAGAAGAATGAAATTATATCATTTGCAAAAATTGGATAGAACTTGAGAGCATTATGTTAAGTGAAGTAAGTCAAACTCAGAAAGTCAAGGGTCATATGTTTTTCTCTTGTATGTGGAAGCTAAAAAGAATAAAGGAGAAATGGGGATGGAGTGGATCTCACAAAAATCAAAGGGAGACCAATAGAGAGTAGAGGGAAGGGACCAGGGGAGGGCACAAGGAGCGGAGAAAAAGGGGAGGTCTTGGAGAATGAAATTAACCAAATTATATTGTGTGCAGGTACAAATACGTAACATTGAATTCCATCAGCATGTATAATTATATGTGCCAGTTTAAAAAAAGATATTGGTATTAGAAACACAATCACTGTATACAGGAAGGGGAGGGATTATATGGATTAGAAGATCAGGGATGGGGGACATTCTGAGAATTTCCAGCTCCTGACAAATGATGATTTGAATGATTTTTTTTTTCTCTTCTCAATCAGGTGTAGTGTCTTTGCCTTTAACCAGCCCATGGTGGCTCTGAATCTGTCATGTATGCGATGGGCATTCATGTGTTGGGGCTCTTGAGCCTGCGACTCAGCTAGCAGTGGTGAAATATCAGCACACCATGGACTATAAAGATAGTCATTATTGCTTTTGTGCCATTAACAAAACCCAATTTTTTTTCTAAGCTCATTATAGCTTTATCTGGAAAGTGACACTTATAATGTGGACAGCAGCATTTCCTGATGGCAGAGTGCAGAGATGGGATACTTAGCACAGGCTCAATTTAATTGTTCACATGCTGCATGACAAGCAGTGGCCACTGCACACGCATAGGTCCTTAGTATTTAATAAAAACAAAAGGCCATCACTTGCATTCCTAGGCTGAGCAAGTCCATTGTCCAGACACTTGGCATTCCATGTGTCTACTGCTCATCTTGCCAGAGTTCTGGGCAGGGAAAGGCACAGGTCCAGCTAGGCCTTGATGCTCGCATCTTGATGTTCTTGTTACATCTACTGCCTTGCGTGTCCTATTCTGCAATAGCACTTAGCTGGTTGGAGGTCTGATTTGGTGAGCATTTCAAAGAACTTGAATTTTTGGAACATGAAGACATGCTCCTGGGTAACAGGAAGCTGACCGTCTTGATCTTGTCCCTACAGAAAGCAGAAGAAGGGCTTTTACTGAGCCTTAATATGTTACATTTGCTATTTTTGTCCAACACCAAATACTGTCTTCAATGTTTATTTACTGTATTATGATAGTATTTTTGTTTAGTTATTCAATAATAATAATATATTGGGACTGATCTGTGCAGGGTCCAGTCTCACAGTAGGCCCAGGTCCATCCTGCCAGCTGCAGGTACCTGTCAGAGCACAAGCACAGGGCCAGCAGACCCCTGCCAGAGCTCAGGCCTGGCCCAGATCCGCCCACACCAACATACGTGGGACCCAGGCCTAGGATATGTCAGGGTTCGCCACCCCTCCACCATCTGGGAGCCTAAGCCTAACCCACTTCCATCTTGGGACACTGCAGTCATCGCCATAGCCTTCCCCAGCAGTAGCCCCTACCTTTTTGACAACAGACCAGGCCTAGAAGCAGCTGCATCTCAGAGAAGGCATCCCAAAGACAGTGTGAGGCCCACCTTTTTAGCCCCATCTCTGTAAGACATTGTTTTCATCTTGGGGCACCTCCACTATCATCTCAAGTTATCTCAGCTATTGCTGCCACCACCTTTAGTTGTAGTAGCATCCATTGAGGGACACCAGCAGGGATCTGGAAGCCCAACATCAAGGTGAGGTACAGACAATCTGCATGGCTACTACAAGAATACAGAGAAAAAAAAAATTGTAATATCTCAGATCCACACTGCAAGAAAGGAAGACACATAGACAACATGAAAAAACAAGGGAGGAAAGAGCCCCAAACAAACCAGGACACTACAATAACAGAACCCATGGACAGCGAAGTTGATGAAATGTCAGAGAAGGAGTTCAGAAGGTTCATAACTAAAATGATCTGTGAATTAAAGAATGACCTAAATGAGCAAATATAGGCAAAAATTGATCAAAGAAATAAGAGAGCAAATACAGGTAGCAAAAGATTACTTCAAGAAAGAGAAAGAGACTCTGAAAAAAAAAAAAAAACCAGTCAGAAATCCTTGAAATGAAGGAAACAATAAACCAAATAAAAAATTCAATAGAAAGCATAACCAACAGACTAGATCACTTGGAAGAAAAAATGTCAGATAATGAAGACAAAGTATAAAATCTGGAAAATAAAGTTGACCACACAGTGAAGATAGTAAGAAACCACGAACAGAACATCCAAGAATGATGGGACACATCAAAAGACAAAAATCTAAGAGTTATTGGGCTAGAGGAAGGCACAGTGTTTCAAACTAAAGGAATGCACAATCTCTTGAATGAGATAATATCAGAAAACTTCCCAAGCATGAAGACGACAAGAGGCTTATAGGACACCAAATGTACAAAATTACAACAGATCTACACCAAGGCACATTATAATGAAAATGCCTAGCATACAGAATAAGGGTAGAATCTTAATAGCCACAGAAAGGAATCAGATCACGTATAGGGGGAGACCAATTCGTATCTCATCAGATTTTTCAACTCAGACTCTCAAAGCCAGGAGATCATATACCAAGCTCTGAAAGAAAATGGATGCCAACCAAGAATCTTATATGCAGCAAAATTAAGCTTTAGATTTGATGATGAAATTAAAACTTTCTGTCATAAACAAAAGTTAAAAGAATTTACAACTAGAAAGCCTGTACTACAGATCATCCTCAGCAAAATATTTCACAAAGAGGAAATGAAAAACAATGATGAAAATCAGCAAAGGAAGGTATTACACTAAAGGAAAAACTAATCAGAGAAAAAACCAATTCACGTTAAATACTAAAAATAAACAAAAATGGCTGGGAATACAAATCACGTCTCAATAGTAACCCTGAAAGTTAATGGTCTAAACTCATCAGTCAAAAGACATAGACTAGCAGATTGGATTAACAACAACAACAACAACAACAACAACAACAACAACAACAATATGCTGCCTCCAAGAGACTCATCGCATAGGAAAAGACATCCACAGACTGAAGGTGAAAGTTTGGGAAAAACCATACCACTCATATGGACTGCAGGAGCAAGCAGGGGTTTCCATCTTTATATCAAATAGACTTCAAGCTAAAGTTAATCAAAAGGGATAAAGAAGGACATTACATACTGCTCAAGGGAACTATACACCAACAAGACATAACGATTATAAATATATATGCTCATAACAACGGAGCATCTGTGTTCATCAAACAAATTCTTCTCAAGTTCAAGAGTCAAATAGACCACAACACAATAATTTTGGGTGACTTTAACACACCTCTTTCACCACTGTATATATCTTCCAAACAAAAGCTGAACAAAGAAACTATAGAACTCAATAACAGAATCAATAACTTAGACTTAACTGATATATATATAGAATATTTCACCCTTCAACAAGTGAATACACTTTCTTCTCAGCAGCACATGGATCCTTCTCTAAAATAGACCAAATATTATGCCACAAAGCAACTCTTAGCAAATATAAAAAAGTAGAGATACTACTTGCATTCTATCAGATCATAATGAAATGAAATTAGAAATCAATGAGAAAATAAAAAATAAAAGCCACTCCAACACCTGGAGACTAAATAATATGCTGCTGAATGAACAATGGCTTGCAGAAGACATCAAGGAGGAGATTAAAACATTTTTAGAGGTAAATGAGAACACAGATACAACATATTGAAATCTCTGGGACACTATGAAGGCAGTTCTAAGAGGAAAGCTCATTGAATGAAGTTCATTCCTTAAAAGATGAAAAAGTCAACAAAAAAATGACTTAAAATTACATCTCAAAGCCCTTGAAAAAGAACAAATCTACATCAACAACAGCAGAAATCAGGAAATAATTAAAATCAGAGCTGAAATCAATGAAATTTAAACAAAATAAACAATTGAAAAAATTGACAAAACAAAAAGTTGGTTCTTCGAAAAAATAAATAGAATTGACAGACCCTTAGCCATTCCAACAAAGAGAAGGAGAGAGAAATCTCAAATTACTAACATACATGATGAAAAAGGTAATATCACAACAGACACTACAGAAATACAGAAGATAACTAGAAATTATTTTGAAAACTTGTACTCCAATAAAATAGAAAATATTGAAGGCATTGAAAATTTTCTAGAGTCATATGATTTGCCCAAATTGAATCAGAATGATATACACAATTTAAACAGATCAATTTCAAGTGACGAAATAGAAGACGCCATCAGAAGCCTACCAACCAAGAAAAGTTCAGGACTGGTGGATAAACAGTCAAGTTCTACAAGACCTTTAAAGAAGAATTAATACCAATACTCTTCAACTTATTTCAGGAAACAGAAAAAGAGGGAGCACTTCCAAACACATTCTATGAGGCCAATATCACCCTGATTCCAAAACCAGACAAAGACACATCAAAAAAAGAAAAAAATTAGACCAATATCTTTAATGAACATAGATGCAAAAATTCTCAATAAAATTCTGGAAAATCAAATATAAAAACATATCAAAAATATAGTACACCATGATCAAGTGGGGTTCATTCCAGTGATGCAAGGTTGGTTCAACATACAGAAATCAATAAATGTAATTCATCTCATCAATAGACTTAAGATAAGAACCATATGATCATCTCAATAGATGCAAAAAAGCATTCAACAAAATATAGTACCCCTTCATGTTCAAAACCCTAGAAAACTAGGGATAGTAGGAACATACCTCAACATTGTAAAAGCTATCTATGCAAAACCCAAGGCCAACATCATTCTAAATGGAGAAAAATTGAATTGAAAGCATTCTCTCTAAAAACTGGAATAAGACAGGGATGCGCTCTTTCACCCCTTATATTTAGCATAGTTCTTGAAACGCTGGCCAGAGCAATCAGACAGACCAAAGAAATTAAAGGAATATGGATAGGTAAAGAAAAACTCAAAAAAGCACTATTTGCCGAGAATATGATTCTGTACCTAGAAGACCCAAAAAATTCCACCAGAAAAATTCTAGAACTAGAAAATGAATTCAGCAAAGCAGCAGGATAAAAATCAGCACCCATAAGTCAAAGGCATTTCTGTATATAAGTGACAAATACTCAGAAAGGGAAATGAAGAAAACTATCCCATTTACAATAGCCTCAAAATAAAACAAAAACAAAAACAAAAAAACTTGGGAATCAATGAAAGAGATGAAAGACTTCTACAATGAAAACTGTAGAATGCTAAAGAAAGAAATTAAAGAAGACCTTATAAGATGAAAAAATCTCCCTTATTCTTGGATAGGCAGAATAATATTATCAAAATTACCATACTATACAGATTTAATGCAATTCCAATCAAAATCCCAATGACATTCCTCATAGAAATAGAAAAAGCAGTCATGAAATTCATCTGGAAAAATAAGAGACCCAGAATAGCTAAAGCAATCCTTAGCAAGAAGAGTGAAGCAGGTGGCATCACTGTATCAGAGCTTAAACTATACTACCGAGTAACAAAAGAAGCATGGTATTGGCACCAAAATAGACTCATAGGCCAATGGTACAGAATAGAGGACACAGAGACTAACCCACATAATTACAGTTATCTTATATTTGACAAAGGCACCAAAAACATACATTGGAGAAAAGATACCCTCTTCAACAAATGGTGCTGGGAAAATTGGAAATCCATATGCAAGAAAATGAAATTAAACCCCTATCTTTCACCATGCACAAAACTCAACTCAAAGTGGATTAAGGACCTAGGAATTAAACCAGAGACACTGCATCTATTAGAAAAAGAGTAGGCCCAAATTTCCATAATGTCAGATTAGACCCCAGCTTCCTTAATAAGACTCCTATAGCACAAGAATTAATATCAAGAATGAATAAATGGATGGATTCAAACTAAAAAGCTTCTTCTCAGCAAAATAAACAATTAGTGAGGTGAATAGAGAATCTACTAATTGGGAACAAATTTTTACCACACGCATTTCAGATAGAGTACTAATCTCTAAAATAAAGAACTCAAAAATCTTAACACCAAAAAAACAAATAACCCAATCAATAAATGGGCCA